CTCTAAACTCACCCTCATTTACAATGATATGATTTTTTGTTCTTTGATGCCTGGTACCTGATCCCTTTGATACCTCATGATCACACAGGCTGGTGTGCTTCTTCCATGTGGGCTCTATTAGGCCATGCATTTTACCATATGTTTATTCCATTTATTTTTTGTGTCTAAACTATTTCTGTCCATTTATCTTGAGGAACTTGTGATCAATTTGCATGAGTGCTTTATAGAATACAGAATATACGAGTGCTTTATAGAATATAGAATCCTTTGTCATATTTAAGGCAGGTATTCTTTGGTTATTTTCCTTTTGGTTATATTTTTCAATGTATAGCTCCAACAGTTTATATAGCTAAATCTATAGGTATTTTCTCTTGTAATTTCTTCCTGTCACTTCAAAACATAGGGAGCTTTCAGCCAAAATTTTGCTAAATATTCAACTCTATTTAAAAACACTGCTTGTTTTAATCATCTCAGAGTTGTTAAGCTGTACTCTTTTTTCCCCATTGACTAACTCATTTTCTTACTACTTTTTTTGGGTCACCTTTCTGTCCTCTGTTGCTTGGTAAGAATTGCTTTAGCATATATAATAAATGAAACCATATACATGGTTCCATCTCTGTAAGTGTGGGCATGAAAAATGGATGGAGCCTCTGGTCAGAAGAGGAACAAAGCACAGTCTGGCTCAGACTACCAGAGCGAAGGGTATGTATGAGTGAATCATGTTAGTAAGTTATACCATGGATAGAGCAGGCCAAGATCCTCCACCCCCAGTCTTAAGGGTCATAACCTTTTATGCCTTATACCTCCTAATCAATTTCCTGTCAGTAACCAGTGAACCAACATAGTCTATGCCTTTCATGGCTCATGTAGAAGTGCACATTTTGAGTCATATGGTCAGGCTCGGTATGATCTTGCGCATTTACCTCTCTAAAGCCCAGGTTCCTTACTTAGAAAACGGGGGAGACAGTACTGCACTCTTTAATTTGGTGTCAGGATTAACTCATGGCTGACAATTCAATTCTGATTCATAGCAACCTTATGGGACAGAGTCGAACTGTCTGATATCTTCAGAGGCGTGGCTGGTGAGTTCAAACCATGTCAACCTTTTGGTTAGCAGACAAGGCCTTCATTCCGTACTGTACCACTAAGGCTCCTTGTGGCAAGGATTAGAGAGGATCTACCAAATGCATAGAACAGTCATGACTGAATGAATTAGCTTCAATTTCGTCCTGGTCACTTCTGGTTACACCTTTGTCAGCTTATTTGTTTAAAGTAGTGGTTCCCAAATCGAGCACTGGAACAATCTAGAGGGGCTGCAAAAACAGATACCTACACTTTATCCTGGATTATGGGCTATAGTACAAAAGTTTCTAATTGCCAGGGGAATGCTGAGTGTTTTTGTTTTCCTTAAAAGGGATGGTAGGTCAAATAAGTTTGGGAAGCAATGGTTTAAACAGTTTCTGAGTTGTACAGTGGTGTATATGCTCAATTGCTAACTAAAAGCTAGAGGTGCCTTGGTAAAAAGGCCTGGCAATCTATTCCCCAAATCAGCCTTTGAAAACTATGGAGCACAGATCTACTCCAGCTTATGAAGGTTACCTTAAGTCCGCATTGACTTGACAGCAACTGATATTGAGGAATAGCTGTTGTTGTGAAGTACGAATGAGTATGCTGCAACTCACAGTAAGCTTCATATACAGCAGAGCAAAGTGTTACCCAGTCCTG